TGCTGCCACGCCTTTCCTCTCATATTATGCAAGCAGATGTTATATTGAACTACTTATATTCTAGAAAGAACTGCGACTTTAGTATAAAAATCCCTCCCCTACCAGCTTCTCGCTCAGCCTTCACAGAGGCTAACGTAGATATTGAAACAGCATTATGTAGCTCTCGAAGTAAACGACTGGGAACTGGGCTTGACGCTAGTCTTGCTTTCGCTGTTAAGGAGGGGCTTGTGATATCTGATCTCACTGCAAAATTGATCAGCGCAATAGCTGACCTCAGGATTGGATAGCACCATTTTAGTGCGGCTTCTAGCGTCTGAAGTCGACCAAGCAAATTGGACTTTCTTCTCTGCAGTAAGTTCATATTCTTTTCAAGGAAGTCTACTCTTCGTCTTTTTGCTGTCCTACGGAAGGTAATGTCACGAGCCTCATAAGTGCAGCATCCAAAGCGGGCTCTTTAATAATTCATGAAACAACACATTGAAGAATGAATCTCTTGTTGCAAGCAAGCTTTTAACCGGGGGGTTGAATACCCGGGTGGTCGTTACTTTGTTGAGTCAATTTTAGCGTTAAAAGCAGGTTAATACATAACTCGAAGTACTTGGGAACCAAAATTAGTGTTGATCGAAATTACTCCATAGGGATGAATCCTTTCAACCTTGGAAGTGCATCAAAGAGAGTAACTCAAGGAGGACTCAATTTATCAGCACGGTAAGAGTGGGCCAAAACGGGATTGGTGGAGAAAGCTTGGAACCAATCATAGGGTCAATCTATGATCTCTGTGGATGCCTGAGCGCTCAGGCAATTATAGGGTTAAACCCTTTTGCCACAGTGCTGCTTGGAAATCAAGACCCGTGACCACAGCGCAATCGACCCTCTTTTCTCTTTCTCCTTCCGAACCCTCGACAACCACCGACAACCTATACCCAGTTCGCAGGAAGTGCCATCACCACCCTTCCAGCACTCAAAATGGCCCGTCGTCCCGCGAGATGCTACCGCTACTGCAAGAACAAGGTGCGTTCCGATTTCGATTTTGCGAGCTTTTGAAGATTTGTGCGGGTTATGTTGGTGGGGAGCGTGCACCAACATATCGTCAACAACCACCTCGCCATGGCCGGAATATCATTTTAGCTATGAGGGATGATCCCTGTAGCACTGTGAGCACTGTGATTGTGCAGTTTATGGAACTTTCAATTTTTCTTTTTTTTTTGAAGATGAGCCGTTTGGCTGACATCAGTTCTCAACGTCCAGCCCTACCCCAAGTCCCGGTTCAACCGTGGTGTTCCCGACCCTAAGATTCGTATCTTCGATCTTGGTCGTAAGAAGGCCAACGTGGATGACTTCCCCATGTGCATCCACTTGGTTTCCAACGAGTACGAGCAGCTTTCCTCCGAGGCTCTCGAGGCCGCCCGTATTTGCGCCAACAAGTACGTTATCCGATCCGCTCCCACATATCTCGCCTGACACCCAGGGACACAAACTCACAACTTTCAACAGGTACCTTGTCAAGATCGCCGGTAAGGAAGGTTTCCACCTGCGCGTCCGTGTGCACCCCTACCACGTCGTCCGTATCAACAAGATGTTGTCTTGCGCTGGTGCCGATCGTCTGCAGACCGGTATGCGTGGTGCCTTCGGTAAGCCCCAGGGTCTCGTCGCCCGTGTGAACATTGGCCAGATCATTCTGTCCGTCCGCACCCGTGACGCCCACCGTGCTACCGCTCTTGAGGCCCTCCGCCGCTCCCAGTACAAGTTCCCCGGTCGCCAAAAGATCATTGTGTCCAAGAACTGGGGTTTCACCCCCGTCCGTCGCGAGGAGTACCTCCAGCTCCGCCAGGAGGGCAAGCTTCTCCAGGACGGTGCCTACGTTCAGTTCCTCCGTGGCCACGGCCCCGTCGAGAAGAACATGAAGCGCTTCCCCGTTGCCTACGAGAACGTCGCTTAGATGTTGATGGGTTGATCAGAATATGAAGTTCAGAACGAAAATACTTGAATGTTCTTATTGTCTTTACCTTGTCCCATTCACCTTGATATCAATCTCTTGCAATCGCAATGATGGAGTTCTTGCAGGGGTATCATGATTCGCTCGCCTACATTGCACTTATAGAATTGTAAATCCGCCGGGGCCGTTATATATACGTAATGTACTGATTTTGAATCTGTCGAACAGGCCACACTTGAGCTTGTCTGACCATGCACGGATCATTCGACATGTTGCCATCAAGGATGTCTAGTAAACTAGCAGAAGTCTGGACCTAACTCTACATTGGGCTTTTTCCATTTCCAATGACCAGAGCATAGAGAATGAATAGGGCTCAAACATCGGTCATGTCACCAAGACTGCAGCACCAGCCATCCACCACCACATAACATTGTCCTTCAAGCCCCATCGCTTGCTTCCTGAAGTTTTCAGCATTCAGATTCAGACATATTTCATGTATCTATCAATGAAGCTGGGCGCAATTCAGAAGCAAGAACCAAAAATCGACGTTGTCTTGGATGTCCAGTGTACAAGTTTGAGGCTATCCCACACTCTACATCTTCAACCAGCCTATGCCTACTTAGGGTTTAAGTTTGCTAACAGCAGTTGGGCGAAATTTCCAGAACCAAGCAAGATCTTGATCATCCTCACTCTTTTTTTCAATCGACTACATTCGTTCTCTCGAAAAAGAGATCAAGTAGGCATCGAAGTATGGAGTATACATCCATACTCACTGAGGCGGCGACCCACCGCAACGTGCCTTATGCAATTCCCCGGCAACTAAAGGAAAACCATTAGCTCGGGTCTTCCAACAAGTCGAATCTCGGTTGAGACTGATTCGGAAAGTAAATAGTAACAGAAGCTGAGTGGGTGAGGAGAACATACCTGTCACGTCATCTGGGGTACAAGAGACCTTCAAACAAGTACCGAGCGTATCCTTGAACGCTGGGCTTGGGCAAGTGCACTTGTAATCAACAGAGGAGACACAGCCTGCCACAGCAGAGGCTTCGTTGATACAACGAATCTGTCCAAGAGGTGAAAAAGTGGTTAGTATTTTGAGTTCACATCAGATGCCCAGATAGGGAGAGCATACAAGGCAGGGACTGGCATCATCCAGAGGATCAGCGACAGTCCAAGACAGGAAAGCAGCCAGTGGAAAGAAGATTGTGAGCTTCATTTTGGATCGATGTAGTATATAGTGGTAATGTGTCAGAAGACTGAGAGCGTGAAAGTGGAGGATTTTATGAACACAGGACGGACGCCCTTGCCCGATTTATCAACAGCCAATCTATTTTTGTAGCACTAGGAGAGGTAACGCATTCCTTCTCATATAGGTATCCCAGTATCAACAAACCCAGTGTCTGGGTGATGTGTGGAATGAGATTTTGTTGGAATGTGAGCTTTTAGAAATGGGAATGTTACAACGCCGGATAATAGACTTAACAGCACGATACGGATAGCGGAATAGTATCTTGACTGAGTTAAAATTCCAAAGCAAATATCGACTCCTGTGATGTGGCTCCTCAAGCACTTTTTGCCAAATTGCTGTGTTATTGAGGTATTGAACACCTCTAGTTGTGGCTTGGACCTGGACAAGAAGATCGGCTCCAAACACAGGAACTTCTTGAGCTAACTTGGCGAATCGGTAGTCTTTCTTCGACAGGAACCCAGCGACGGATGCTTTAGCTACCAGAGAGCGTACTTGGTGTCCTATTGACAAGTTTATAACCGAGCGAATGTCTTCAGTTGTAAAACCTTGGGTGCTTGCGTTAGGGTCATTTTCATTGTTGATTGAGGATTCATCGTCGCCTTTCTTGTTAACGCTTCCGTTGTTGGTAATTCTCTGGTTGATACTTTTTCTTGGATGTTCGGCGATTTGGGCTTCGACTTGGCTGATGTCGCACACATCAGCTAGACGTGCAAATTCAATCAAAGTTGCGGCCTTGGCACCCGGTTCTTGATTTCTGCAATTGTCCTCGCCAGTAGATAGCCAAAGCAAACGGATTTCGAAACTTTGTATGAAAAGAACACCGTCAAGCTCTTTCATAACCACTGGTTGGTCCTTCACTTCCGTAAAGTTGCCGCCAAACACTCTCGCAACATATTGAGACTGGTCCACGAGAATGGCTCTCGAAACCGTGTACTCCTTGCTGGATAGATTAAGTCGGATCTTCATAAGAGGGCCATGAAGGACAGGAAGAAAACTGAAGACACGCGGCTGTTCTAGTAACGATACCAATAGAAGCAAACTATCTTGTTTACTTGCGAGTTTACCAAGTCTGTAGGGTCCGAATACCGGAAATGCGGTTTAGTCGCTGGCTTGCCTGCAGAAGTGAAGTAGGTGAAGCAAGTGGAATGAATAAGGGAAGATTGGAAAAGACAGTGGAAATGTAAAACCTTGCGACCCCAGAGATCATAAACTGGATCAAAAGCAAGAGCCTTGGGGTATCCTTGTGGTTAGAATCTCGCTTTCTTCTCTCTCATGTTTACACGAGAAAAGACGTAAAAGCTGACCTTCATAGAATCGGCATTGGAAAAACCTTGGAAGAACTTTCCCTAAATTTTTATCTTCTTTATGCATCTTGCAAGCATAGTTTTTTGAAGCAGAAATAAAATACATAGGCAATAGTTCATAGGGCTGAAGTATATGATTACTGCGCGATGGCCGCTATTCCCGCTATTCCGAACTAGGACCCCGAGAGCATATGACACTTGATTGGTTGGCTTTCGCACACCGCCTTATGTTCCGCCTTTATCACACATGTAGAGACATCCGATTTCCTATCTGGTTTTTCCTAGTGCACGCCATTTTTCCATTTTTATTTGCCCATTGAAAAGTCCCCACTTCACTCATAGAGCTCTATTGGTTAACTCATTCATGGTGCTCAGGATCTTTATATTACAGGTAAGTGGGGTGACGAAGTAGTTTTCTGACCGGCAGTATTTTCTCGATTTTCTCGTACAGCTAGTTCCAGCCCCGCATACGTCACCCTCAAAAATTCCTCATCTCCTCACAAACACAAACATGAAGCAGAGATTCTCGTCTTTGGACGTCAAGGTATCTTCAAATACACTGCAAAGAGATACAACACTAACAACTTCAGGTCATCACGCAAGAATTGGCGTCAGAGTGTGTCAACCTCCGAGTGTCCAACATCTACGACCTGTCCTCGGTACGCTCAGTTCATTTCTCTTTGTCATCTAAGGATATCAAGCTGATTCGATTTTTTTAACAGCGTATATTTCTTTTCAAACTCGCTAAACCGGACCACCGGCGTCAACTCATTATTGACTCCGGTTTTCGCACTCATGTCACTCAGTATACGCGAACTACGGCAACCACACCCTCGCCCTTTGTGACCCGTCTCCGAAAATATCTGAAGTCTCGCCGAATTACGGGAATCTCTCAAATCGGAACAGATCGCATCATCGAAATTTCTTTCAGCGATGGCGCATATCACATCTTCCTCGAATTCTTCGCCGGTGGTAACATCATCTTGACAGACCGCGAGTACAATATTCTTGCTTTCTTCCGCCAAGTTGCTGCTGGTGTGGGTCAGGAAGAGATCAAGGCTGGACTCAAGTACACTGTGTCGAATAAACAGAATTATGATGGGGTTCCGGACATCACAGCGGATCGAGTTTTGCAAACTCTGGAAAAGGCACAGGGGCTTTCTGCCCAAGAGGGAAACGCACCCAAAAAATTCAAAAAAAAGGGAACGGATGTTTTGCGAAAAGCATTGTCGCAAGGCTTTCCTGAATATCCTCCTCTGCTCCTCGACCACGTCTTTGCGATCAAGGAATTTGATACCACAACGCCGCTGGATCAAGTAATAGGGAGCCAAGATCTGTTGCAGGCCGTAAAAGAGGTGCTAGAAGAATCGCGGCGAGTTTCCAACACCTTTGACTCTGGCGCTAGCCATCCTGGCTACATTGTTGCAAAAGAAGACACGCGACCCATCCCGGAAGGAGAGACTTCATCAAAGGCCGCGGGCCTGCTTTACGAAGACTTTCATCCTTTCAAACCTCGACAGTTTGAAAATAAACCAGGAATAAAGATCCTAGAGTTCGAGCGCTTCAATGCCACAGTCGACGAGTACTTTTCATCTCTTGAATCTCAGCGACTCGAGTCGCGATTGACAGAGCGCGAGGAGGCAGCCAAGAAGAAGCTCGAATCCGTGCGATTCGAGCACAAAAAGCGGATTGATGAGCTCAAGAACGTACAAGAGCTTCACATCCGCAAAGCGAATGCTATTCAGGACAATGTATACCGAGTTCAGGAGGCAATGGATGCTGTCAATGGACTGGTGGCCCAGGGAATGGACTGGGGTGAAATTGCGCGCCTGATTGAGATGGAACAGGATCGCGGCAATCCAGTGGCGCAGATCATCAAATTGCCCCTCAAATTGTACGAAAATACAGTCAGCCTACTTCTTGGAGAGGCCGGCGACGACGAGGATGAAGAGGAGGAGTTTTCTAGCAGCGATGAATCAGACTCCGATTCAGAGAACGAAGCAGATCAAGAGACAAGCAGTGCGGAACGAGAGTCTAAGCTTTTGACCATTGACATTGACCTTGGTTTGAGCCCATGGGCGAATGCATCACAATACTATGATCAGAAGAAGCAAGCCTCAGAGAAGGAACAAAGGACAACCCAGTCGTCTACGAAGGCACTGAAGAGTCACGAGAAGAAGGTGACGACCGAGCTGAAGCGAGGCTTGAAGAAAGAGAAGCAAGTGCTTCGACAGGCTCGGACGCCATTCTGGTTTGAGAAATTTGTCTTTTTCATTTCTTCGGAGGGCTACTTGGTTATAGGGTACGTGATTCCATTGAACACTGTTCTACGACATACTAATCCCAGCAGTGCACGTGATGCTATGCAAAGTGAATTGCTCTACCGGCGTTATTTGTCGAAGGGCGATATCTTTGTGCACGCTGACCTCGAAGGTGCGACGCCAATAGTGGTGAAGAACCGAGCCGGCAGTGCAGACGCACCAATCTCTCCAAGCACATTATCTCAAGCTGGCAACCTTTGCGTCGCGACTTCCACTGCTTGGGATTCAAAGGCTGTCATGTCTGCTTGGTGGGCGCATGCTCATCAGGTATCCAAAATCGCAGAGAACGGCAGCGGAATAATGCCCACGGGTGTTTTCCAAATCAAGGGAGAGAAGAACTTCTTGGCGCCATCGCAACTGGTGCTTGGATTTGGCATCATGTTCCAAGTCAGCCAAGAAAGCGTTCGGAACCATAAGCAGCGATTCGACACATCTGACATTCCACTAGCCGCTATACCTCCTGCAGATGAGACTGAGGCTTCTGAGCTGAAGGACTTCTTGGAGCCAGAAGCCCAATGGCAGACAGAGGCCAACGAAGACGCAGAAAAGGGAAATGAGGCATCTGAAGAGGAGGATGAAGATGAGAAAGCCGCCTCCCGAAACCCTCTCCAGCGAAGCAATTCCGAGCTTTTTACCTCTCAACCAACTCAAGAATCGGAGTCTAGGTCCGACCCGGAAGAAGAGGTAAAGGATGAACTTGAGCAAGAAGTTGCAGAGGATCAGCCGGAGGAAGAAGAAGAGGAAGAGGAAGAAGAAGAAGCCAAATCAACAGCAGGTCAAAATCCTGCACCTGGGCAAAATGAAGAACCGAACTTGAACGCTCGAGAGCGACGTACCTTGCGACAAGGCAAGTCGCTTGACCGTCCCGGCGAGGAAGAATCAGCTGCACCACGCATCGCCCCTACTCGCGGTAAGCGGGCGAAGGACAAGCGCGCTGCTGCCAAGTATGCTAATCAGGACGAGGATGAGCGAGAACTTGCTCTTCGGTTAGTGGGTGCTAACAAGGGCAAGGCCGCAAAGGCGGCCAAGGCAGCTGAGGCCAAGGAACAGCGTGAACGAGAGGCTGAGGCGCAAAGGCAACGACGACGGGCCCAACATGAGCGCGCTGCCGAAGCCGAGCGCAAACGGCAGGCCCAGTTTACGGAAAATGGAACGGACGATTACAGCGAGGAGACAGCTGCCGCAGAAGCTTCGGATCTCACTTGGATTCCAGCCCTGGTGGGTACACCAACTACGGATGATGAAATAATTGCTGCTATTCCTGTATGCGCCCCATGGGCTGCCCTTGGACGCTACAAGTACAAAGTCAAACTGCAGCCAGGCACTGTAAAGAAGGGCAAGGCCGTCAAGGAGATCATTGGTCGGTGGGTGTCCGAGACCACCACCGGGAAGGTTAAGAAGGAGCACGCCGAAGATGTCGGGATCTCTCGTGTCGACGCTGAGCGTCTCCGGGAACGGGAGGGAGAGCTCATCAAGAGCTGGAAAGATACTGAGATTATCAACACTATGGTTGTGGGCAAGGTGCGCATCATGACTGCAGGAGCTGGAAGCGGCGGTGGGGGTGATAAGGGCAAGGGCAAAGGTGGAAAGGGTGGCGGAGGTGGTAAGGGTAAGAAGAAGTGATTGAGACTTGTGTATACATAGAGAATGCATAGATTAGAGCTTTGAATTCAAGTCAACCGATTCAATCCAATCAGGTTATATAAGATAATTATCGGTGTCAAGCCGATGTATGCCCCTGGTCTTTTTGTGCCAGCTGATCAGCCACAATCCCGCTTCAACTACCCCATAAAATCTTGAACAACTCCTACCTTTTCAAATCCATTGTCAATAACATCGTTGGCGATGTGATTGCAGTCCGAGTTCCTGACGCGCTGAGTCATCCAACGTCATGACCCGAACCATTTTTCTCGCGACCTCAAATGTTGGGCCTCTTATCGCTTCTGACGGCATTGTGCGAAACGATAGCCGATCATATACGCTCGAATCGACCTCTGATTTTACGTTTGAGATAAACCAAAAAAACTTCGCCCCACACAGCCAGAACCCGGCCCCCCCTCGGGCATCAATTCGCCCCTCATCTGATAACGTGTGCGCCCGAATGGTGCGTCATTGAGGCCTTCTCAAACATCACATTGCTTTTCACTCGCGCTTTTGCCGGCCACTGTCAGCGCAGTTGTGCCAGATACTTAAGCAAAATGCCCACACAAACGAGAGTTGTCCCCGTTCAACGGCTCAGCAAAGGGCCCGGCGATTTATCTCTGGCAGAATGGTGGGAGAAGGAGCGCAACCAAAAAACGCCAGAGTCCCAGGCCATCGAAGAGGCTGCCAAACTTCTCCGGTCAAGTGACATTCCCGTCGCATTTCCTACCGAGACAGTATATGGCCTAGGAGCCGATGCGACGCGCAGTGCCTCTGTTCAGGGAATCTATCGCGCGAAACAACGGCCCTCAGACAACCCCCTGATCGTTCATGTCGACTCACTCGACATGCTTGAGCGTCTCCTCAATCCCACCTCCCACGGTAGCCCCAACTCAATTCAAAGTTTGCCAATCGCTCTTCCCTCGATCTACAAGCCTTTGATCGACAAATTCTGGCCCGGCGCACTGACAATCATTCTACCCAATCCATCTGGGTCCATATTGGCGCCGGAGGTCACTTCCAGCCTGACCACATTCGGCGTCCGCATGCCCTCTTCTCCACTCGCACGTCTACTCATCCACGCAACAGACCGTCCCCTCGCCGCGCCATCTGCAAATGCCTCCACCAAGCCATCCCCAACAACCGCGCAGCATGTATACCACGATCTCAAAGACCGCATCGAGATGATTCTCGACGGCGGCGCCTCCGGTGTTGGCGTTGAAAGCACTGTGGTGGACGGATTATGCGACCCACCAGCGATTCTGCGCCCCGGCGGCATCGGCATCGACGAAATCCGGAAATGCGAAGGGTGGGAAAACGTCGCAGTCGGCTACAAAGATGGAACGCTAGACGTGAAGGAGGTTCCACGCGCACCGGGAATGAAATACCGCCATTACTCGCCAAAGGCACGGGTTGTTCTCTTTGAGTCGACATCCAACCCAGCCGGGGTGATGAAACTTGTCCAAAAAGACCTGAAAGATACAGCCATTGGCGCACACAAAATTGGTATTATCCGCACGCGGAACTGGGAGATTGGCTTGGGGCTGGCTTCAGAAGATCACCTCGCCAGTAGCATGAACCCCGTGTCTTCTCCCATTGAGAACATTATCAGTTTCCCGATCCCCGTGTTGGAGAATGGAAACCCGAGCGGCCGCACGAAGATGGCGTATGATTACCATCTTGGCTCAGATGCGGTTTCCATCGCACATGGTCTATTTGCCGCCCTGCGCGGGCTGGATGAGCTTGATGTTGATGTTATTTACGTGGAAGGTGTTTCAGACCGCGAGGGTGACCTGGCCGCAGCTGTCATGAACCGGCTACGAAAGGCTGCTGGTGCTGAAATGCGGGTTTGAAAAGCCCCGATTTAGTTCTGAAGATGGAGTCCAGGTTGTTTTCCGGGTTTAGATAGAGGCTTAAAAAGTGTGAATATTAGAATCAAATAAATTTCAACATGAAATAAATATGTATGACCCACATCTTTTGCACACGGAGGTTAAAGAGGGCCTGTTAATGGAGTCTCTTGGGCTTACCCCATTTGATGAATTCTACTCATCTCCATTCGACGCGGAATTCGGAGATCTCCGGGGAATAAGCTTATCGATGAGCCCAATGTTGGGATAAAAAAAAGTGAAAGACAACTGTGTCATGAAAAGAAGAATTATGATCCGAGACACTGGCGGGGGAAAAAGCAAACTCGTCCGGTGCTTCTCCCGCGTTGATATAGAAAATCTTCTAACCCAAAGAAAACTACTCACTGCAACCCTCAGAAATGTGTCAATCTCTTATACACGAGTTCCTCGAGGGCCTCCCTAAATGTGAACACCACGTTCATCTTGAGGGCACCCTCGAGCCAGAGCTCATCTTTGAGCTCGCGGCGCGCAACGGTATTACCTTGCCGACCGACCCAGCCTATACTTCAGTCGAGACCCTCAAAACCCGTTATGAGCATTTCAGTAACCTAGACGACTTCTTGCATTTCTACTTCGAAGGCATGGCCGTTCTCCGCAAGGAAGAAGACTTTGCCGATCTAGCCTGGGCATACTTCCAAAAAGCGCAGGCAGACGGCGTGCACCACGCAGAGGTCTTCTTCGACCCGCAAGTTCACGAAAGCCGCGGTGTACCGTACGACACCATCGTCACGGGCTTCTCAAAAGGGTGCAAGCGCGCCGAGACCGAGCTCGGCTTGAGCACACGACTAATCCTGTGTTTCGTGCGGCATCTCCCCGTCTCGTCGGCCAGGGAGGTTTACGAGGAGTTAGTGGCTCACAAACACTTTGAGTCTGGCGTTGTGCACGGACTGGGCTGGTCTTCTTCAGAGGTTGGCCCGCCGAAAGATATGTTCCGCGAGATCTATGCGTCAGCCGCGCAGAAGAACATCCCGCTTACGGCGCATGCCGGCGAGGAAGGTGATCCGACTTATATCAGCACTGCGATTGAGCTTGGTGCCCGACGTATCGATCATGGTATTCGGCTGGTTGAAGACGAGGAGTTGATGCAACGTGTTGCGCGTGAGGGTATCCTGCTTACCGTCTGTCCGTTATCGAATGTGCGGCTGCGTTGTGTCACCTCTATCAAGGGAGTACCTATTCGGCGGTTCTTGGAGGCTGGGGTCAAGTTCTCGATCAACAGTGATGATCCTGCTTATTTCGGTGGTTATATTCTTGATAACTACTGCGCTGTGCAGGAGGCTTTCAATCTCAATGTGATGGAGTGGAGGATCATTGCGGAAAATAGTGTTCAGGCGAGCTGGATTGAGGATTCTCGTAAGGTGGAGATTTTGGCAAGCATTGAGGCGCATGTCAACAAGTATACGCGTTTGCACACCATTTCAGCATAAATTCCGGTTGTTGATGCATACATTGGCTTTTGTCTGAGTCGTTGGCGAGCCTTTCGATCATGTCTCTCCGGCTTACTATATGCTGCATCACTAAATACCACTGGGTGTTGAGAGTATTGCATATGCGCAGTTGTAGTGGGAAGGCAAGGTAGTAACAAGCATCAGGCACATAAGGTCTTGATAGGGGGCCTCAGGCAACTGACCCCACTGACAGTAACCCCAAGCACTTGGGTCAGCAGCATCCTGTGCCTAGACGAGTCCTTAGTTGTTAATACCTGACTATGTATTTCATGCCCGGAACATCCTTCGTGATACCTGGAGCCTCACGAAGCCTACTTTCCGGCTAACTGCGATCTCAGAGAACCTATACCCTGCGTCTAGCGTTGTGTTTCGCAGCAATCAAGCCAAGAACAACCCCCCCCCGCAAAGCACAGTACTACTTATTCTCCCCGAAATAAGCTACCTACAGAGCGAAATCCACGCAAACAAAAAGATGTCCATCTCCACTCCAGACCGCTATAAGCTCGTCTTTTTCATCCCGACCGCCAACGTGGAGCCCTGCAAAGAAGCCATCTTCGCTACAGGTGCCGGGTCATTCCCGGGTAGTAAGTATACCAAATGTTGTTTCCAGATTGTTGGAACAGGCCAATTTCTGCCCAATGAGGGTGCAGATCCGGCGGTCGGAGCCGTCGGTGCTTTAGAACGGTGCGAAGAGGTTAGGGTTGAGATTTTGTGTGTGGGCCGGGGCATTATGCTGAACGCAGTCGATGCTTTAATCTTGGCGCATCCGTATGAGGAGGTTGCTTATGAGGTTTATAAGATGGAGAACGTTTAGTTGGTCGAGTCAAGACTTGGTTGATGAGATACGACACTAAGAAGGCGATGTGATTGGGACGGTAGTCATCTTGCTCTGCAATGATCAGTTTCCCAAAATCAATTTCTTTCAAGGGATTTCAAGTTCGATAGAACAATTTGTAAGAGTGTCAATCGTCCCCCCAAAAAATGAGCGTTGTGTTGATGGCAACGAAGGGCAACTAACTGTATGGCAGCGGATTGGTAAGGCGGTAGTAATCCCTGGACGCTGATTTGTTCAGAACCTGCCCCAAGTAAAACGCCTCGTCAACTTCACTTCTCCTTCAACCTCTAACCTCATCTCCCCCCCCCATTGACCCTCATTCATCGCCCGCGATGGCTTCTAAGCTCTTCTCAGTCCCGCGGGTTGGCCGCCAGTTGGTCCACCAGCTCCCCAAACCCCAATACAGAGCCTTCTCCGCCGGCTCGCAACGGTTCAGCGACTCCCTTTCGGTGGTGCGTACTTCTCTCGGCCCCTCCTGTGCTTTAGAAGCCGATTGTGTCTCAGAAATGGGGAATCAAATCCTCATATACTAAATTTGATTGTCTCGAACAGCACCGCAACACGCCCAAGAACAACCCGACCCTCCCGTTCAAGTTTTCCGAGCAGAACCTCAAACTCGCCGATGAGATCCTCAAGCGCTATCCTCCCCAGTACAAGAAGGCTGCTGTCATGCCCCTTCTTGACCTCGGTCAGCGCCAGCACGGCTTTACTAGCATCAGTGTCATGAACGAGGTCGCTCGCATGCTCGAGATGCCCCCAATGCGCGTTTACGAGGTCGCGACCTTCTACACCATGTACAACCGTGAGCCGGTTGGCAAGTACTTCGTGCAGATCTGCACCACTGTAAGCACTTGACATAAATCCCTTTTCCCTGCTTTTCCTAATAGGCAATCTTCTAGACCCCATGCCAGCTCGGCGGCTGTGGTAGTACCGCCATTGTCAACGCCATTACCGAACACCTCGGAATTACCCCCGGCCACACCACCGAGGATGGCCTCTTCACATACGTCGAGGTTGAATGCTTGGGTGCTTGCGTCAACGCACCCATGGTCCAGATTAACGATGACTACTACGAGGATCTGACCCCGGAGTCTATCAAGACCATCCTGACAGCCCTTAAGGACTCCGCCACTGCTACCGGTGCCGGCGCCGGTACCAAGGTCCCCGCTCCTGGCCCGCTGAGCGGGCGCAAAACCTGTGAAAACAGCGCCGGTCTGACCAACTTGACTGACGTGCCGGCGTGGAACCCGGAGACAATGATGCGCAAGGACAATGCATTGGACTCTGCGCCCAAGCAATAGAAGACGAAGAGAAAGAACATTTAAAAGAGCTCTTCATTGCCGTGGGTCAATTCCGGACGGGGAGGATATTATAATGGTTGTGTTTTTTTTTGTCGAATGGACGAGCATAAGCCGCCTTGGGGCACTGCGGTAAATCCGGGGTGATGATTAGAGGCCACCGCGCCCTTCGCCCTAAGGCGCCTTGAATGAAAACCACTCTTGAGGCGTCCTATTTTTTTAGTCTGTCCACAACATACCATGTACAGTACGTTTGTTCCTGGCTCTAAGTGTGATCCGAGCCCGGATGGATATCTGGCTCAGTCGCTGTGAGACACTGGCAGGATCAATCGCAGATTTTTTTTTCCATTTCTATTTTTTCTCATCTTGGCTGTTTAGCTTGTAGATACGGAAGTACGCTGTACAGCATGAGGCTTGTTCCGGCAGGTTATATAGGGGAGATGTATTCCCTCACGTAGTATGATATATCAACGCTCACTTCCGTACTTGGACATCTACCCAAACTAGGGCTAAATAAATCATAGATTTGACATGTCTTATTCAAAACCCCCAACTTTATAGGCCCTACGTTGCCCATGTAGACTTAGCTTCTTAGTTAACTAGCTCATGCAATCTTGTATCGCGGCAAGTGCTCCAATCCACACGATTTTTCTCGGTAAACAGGCGAGAAGTCAGACTTGGAATTGCACGCACACTTGCCATAGGTTTGAGGCAGCAGCTGATCATATCAAATAACCACTAGCTAGCCTTTTATTGGTTTCCTCGGATAAGTAGAACGGTTCTTGTTATGCTCTTCAATCATCTTAGATTCTACGCTCAGAGAGGATTGGGGTATTCAGATAGGCAGGGTGTCAATCCGGTTCATGTAGTCCATGCAAGGTCCACTTTCCTTCTAGTATCCTGCTCACGGATCATCTCACAGCACGGCCGGGATCTTAGTTGTACATATTAAGCAGTCAGACCAGAACAAGAATCCGAAAGCCCGACAATTTTCGCTGCGGCAAATATATTGGGCCCTGATATCCTTCAGGGACCAGAGACGGATCCCATCCTCCCCCACTGAGTTGAACATGGTCTCAAGTTTCAACATGGCTAGGCACAAACTGATTGGAATTGCCTTGTGCATCAATTTGAAGAACCTGGAATTCAATTTAGTTCGGAATTGGTACCAAACATCCAATGGAAAGATGGCCAAGGGGAGATAATGGGGTTTAGTAAAGTGGCAATGTCTCGCTACTAATGTTCTACAGAGGTCTGCAATGAGCATATATATCCTGGAAACCAGCTATCTAGAACAAGGGTAGAAAACTGTAGGAAGGTAGGGCTGACAGGAAAGGCACCGTACTGGCAATTGAAAGATTGACACACATTGCTAAGAGGTACCGACAGCTAATAACATGTCAAAAGATATGGTATGAGTGTAAAAATCACGCAAGACCACTACAAATTACTGTGGAGTAAGCTCTCAGAACAGCATATCTAGATCGCACAGTCCACCAGTTGATAGGGGAAAGGGAGGAGGTTACAATTAACACGCTCAATTTACCGTGATGAATATCAAAGTACATAAGTGTACTTAGATGGGAAGAATGGCTATAGCAGGTATCAGAACACAAAACGCCGAATAGCTTTTTTAAATTTTATGAGAATTCAAGTACATCTACAAGAACCACCGTGAACTTGTTGTCGACCGGCGAAGCTTTCGTAGCAAATAAAGAAAAAAAAAAGAAACAACAGTATTTTGACCATGTCCACTTGGCCGACCGGTGAATTCCCACCTGAAAAAAAAAGAACGGTCACCATGAATCGGCATGGCAACCGTACCTGCGGGTAGCCCTAGAGGGATGGCCAGCTCCTGGAGCTAGCCTACTCTGGCAACTCCTCTCCTTCGTATGCAACATCGTCTAGCAATACTTCTCCTTCTGGAACTAAAACTGGGATACCTTGACGCTCAACGAGTTTGCTTGATTGAGCCTTCTGGAAGATGTTGACTTCATATGTGTTCTTCACCAGCAAATGATATGCATGGACTTTGCGCTTCTGCCCAAATCGCCGCGCACGTCCGATTGCCTGGATCATGCCCGCATCATACTCATGGTCAGAAGCAGCGTAGTATGGTGACAAGAAGATGACGTGATTTGCGCATTGGAGATTCCTTTATAACGGATCGGATTAGTATTTTTTCCAACAAAACAGCAGAGAGAGATTACTTACAATCCAGCTGCCATAGAGGATCCGAGATTCAATATCAAGGCCTTTGGCCTGGAAGGTGGTTGAGTGGTGCCCTTCTTGGGTTTAGGAGGATCAGTGAATTCTCCGATTCCCTTCAAGTTGGTTTGTGTCACCATGCGGTGATTGATGTTCGCAGCTTGAAGGGCATTTGATGTAACGGGCAAAAGGTGGCTGATTTGTACGAAGATGAGGACAAGTTCATCCTCTGGAACCTTGCGGATGATCTCAATAAGCTCGTTGAGCTTGGTATTCTGAATTTCTTGGTCTTCACTGACGAGGATCTCACCGGGTACGATCTTGGATTGGAAAATGTGGCCGCTACATCCAAGGACGGGGCAGGGTTTGCGTGGTTGGTTGATCGCGGCGTCGAGGCAACCTTTGCAGAGGGCATGACCGCAGTTTTTGAGAACGTAGACATTTTTCTTTTCTTGCAAATCTCTCTTGCAATTTTCACAGGGTGGAATTCCAATGGTCTGAATCCTCACCAGATTTTCGTAGAATCGGCATTCCCGGTCAATCTCGAGGACTTGCTTCAAGAGAGAGGTAACATCAGTGAACAAGGCTTTTTCGACAGCCGTCCAAATTTCATTGGAAGACGTACTGGTGGTTCCTCCATGAGCTGTGACTCTGGGAGGGCGTCTTCCACCGGCTGTGTTGCCGGACTTCGCGTTCTGGGTCTTTTGGAATCGCGCATGAAGCAAATCTTCAATAGGCCGGTGTTGCTCTGCTAGTTTCCACTCGCTGTATGAGCGGATGATACCCCCTAACAGCTCGTTGAACTTTTTGTTGAGCTCCGCGTCCCCCAAATCAATATTTGCAACGCCATTCAGGGCGTTTTGCCAGTCCTTGGGATCGGTATGGTTCATTTCGCGACACCAAACAGTCGCTGCCTGTCGAGTGATCGAGTCCACTTTAGTCCAGATCTCAACTGATTTCTTTTGGTCGCTCCGCGAGCCTTTCCGGCACTTCTCGAGGTTCCATGGAGGTTGTCCGATTTGACTTGTGACACAAGACATGATGAGTGCCTCTTGGGGGAACTGGCTCTTGGACAAAATGGTGCTCAAGGGACCAGGGATTCGTTTCTTGTTTTCGATGACGGCTCGGAATAACGTATCGTACGCTGTCTTTTCAGCGGGTGACTGTTCGGTGATGACAAGATGCGTTATCAATGGAATGTGTGTGATGCGTGCGATGTTTTGACGCGCAAACCGATCTAGAAATCTTTGAGCATGCTCTCGGCGGTTTTGGTACCACGCGTTACTGTGGGGTGGCTGGTAATATTGGAACGCCTCAGCAGCTGTGTGGTTCTTCCTGATATTTCGTAGTCTGCTATTCTGCGTCGGCTTGTCGCAATCGCCATCGTCGTCCACACCAAGTTCTAGACCAAGGTAACGCGCGATGCTCTTGATATCGGCAAATTCAGCAAGAGCAGGCGTTCCAGAAAGGATCCATTTGGAGCGTGCCTGCAATGAGAGCAGGGAGGCCTGTCTTTCTTCCCCGGCATATGTGTATTCGTCGATAACCAAACGGTTAAATTTGAATGCGTGAATGAAAGCAGCTTTAACAGTGCGCCAGTCCTGCTTTTCCGTCTTTTTGATACCACTTTTGATATCAAAGTCCATGCGGTCATCTTTCACGGCAGTTGATTTGGCTCCACATTTCTTTTTGTCATCGGTCACGTCTGCCAGGTCTGCTGATGGGCGCTTTTGTCGCTTTCTACTTGAACCTTCCACTGACTTCCTACCGTGTCTCCGCTTCCGCTGGCCCACAGGACTCGCTGTTCCGGTCGACTGTCTCGCATCAGATGCATCAACTTCCTCGAAACCCGAGTCAGACTCAGAATCCAAATCCTCTTCCGCTTCTGCATCGGACTCGTCACGACCATTAAAAGCATCAGCGAATGCCTGGCCATGGAGGAGTCGAGAAGGCACGTAAGTGAAGTCGGCCTGCATTTCTTGAACTCGGCGACGTCTGGCCTCCAATCTCTGGAGCATCGCCTCAGGCCCTTTTGTTTTTAACATCTCAACAGACTCCTGCAAGGAAGCACGAGCGTCATGGAACCAGCTATCAAAGTTTCGACCTGTTCCTCCGCTCGATTTTGCGGGAGCCTGGGGTGTTCCGGTAAATTGTTGAAGTCGTCTGTAGTATGCATCGTTCGCCAGTATACTCCATGACAAAATCACGATATCTGCTTCTTCGATTTCCCGGATGGTAATCTTGTTGATTGACGATATCGCCAAGACTTTGTATTTTCCCTCGAGAAACTTCTTGGTCTCCGAAATCCACTGCTTGAACACATTGCTAGGCACGATGATCAGGGTTGCTTTGGTTGGAATCAGCCAGTCGTCTTCAGGGGGTTTGGTGTCTGTTTTATACTGCGCGTCAATGAGACCGAGAATAACAGCCGTCTTTCCATATCCAACCTCGTCAGCTAGCACGCCACCGCGAACAATCTTTGGCAGTGTTGCTTTGACTTCGGCGCGCCAGGGCATCAAGGGGAGGATTGATTCTTCAACTTCCTCTTCCATAAACGGTTCCATATCTTTTGCTTCTTGTGAAATCATCCAGCTCAATGATCGAAGCTGTTCATCACGAAGCTTGAATTTGAAGTTGGGAGGCTGTGGCGAAGGACTATCGTCGTCGTTGCTCCTCAAAGTGAACCTTTCGGGGGTTGCGTGACTCACATCGGGGGGTTTTTGAGCCATGTCGTACGCATGAGGTAGAAGTCGCCAGCAAGATATTACTGTCTCACGGCTTGTAGTACCGACCAGGTTTCCATGTGCCCGATGCGTCAGAGCTTGAATATTGAGGGTGAAACTTAACTCAGCGTCTCCAGTTTCGTTGATTCGTCTGAAGACCAAGAATGGCGAGGGCCGTTTTTTGATGGCGCGCTCATAGACAGCAGCTTCTTGGGGGTTCTCATATGGGATGATTCGGTCTTTGTTGTCACGGCCCCAAAGGACACTGGGGGTGGGTGGGTTACAGATATTGCAATTGCCATCTGCATGATTTGGGTCTGAACTGTCTGGACGGATAATTTCGTTCCAGTCTTCAAAGTCGGACCACGCGGCAATCTTTGGGAACAACCATGCGAGACCTTTCAATTCTCTCATAGAGACCTCGGGATTCCAAGCTTGCCAGTCGGAAGTTGCGTCGGGCAGGTTGAGAATTGCTGTTGTTGCTGAGAGTGAGGTAAGGGTGATACAAGCATCATGACATTGCTGGTTTTCAATCGAGACTCGGATTCCTTGTTGCAATGTGCGGAGAGTAATCTGCTCGGCAGGACAATGGCTCAATTGCACTCTGGGGGCCTTGACCCATCGACGACAGAAAGCTTTCACATCTTGCGAATCCAAGGTGACATCCAATGATCTCCAAGCTGAGGACAACTCGGCTATCGTCATTCTCACATCGTATCCAGGAAGGCGGCTGTGGTCAAGGGAGAACACACAAGCATCTTCATCAGGGGGTCCAGTCTTCGTTGAATCAAGGAATAAGAATATTGGAGGCGAGCGGGCGGTGGCTTGTTTTCTGTACAATGCACCAAGCGCTGTTCCACACTCAGGGAGGAAATGGTAGATTCCCCGGACGTCAAAATCAAGAACTGTGACATCTTGATCTAATCCTTCAACGAAAATACTGTCCCAGGCTTTTCCATCAACAAACCTAGCAGCTTTAAGACCACACTCCGATTGGAATGATCGGACTTGGCATCCTCGGCCGGAAATCTGAAGTGAGAAAGGGGTGCTAACGGGTGAACAAACTTCCCATGTACCCTCGACAAAAGACCCAGAGGTGGGACTCATTCTGGCAATTGGCTTGGCCAGCACTTCTCGGATGACGCTTCTCGTGTTTGCGGACTTGGGGGGCTTTGCGTACAAGAGCCACTGGATGGATTCCATACCGATATCAAGGAACAAGCTGGAGTGCGTGCCATCGTAAACGACTCGCCATGTTCTTCCGCGCTTGATCTCGAAAAACCGAAAGACGTCGTGCACAGCTGCATTCGTGCATTGAATAAAGTCGGGCCAGAACTGGGAGATGTTGTCGATAGGGTAAAGGGATTTAAACGTCTCGAAGTCCAACGCGGACAACCCAGACAGCATAAGCTTCATGGGAACAAGTCCCTTCATTTTTGCTATAAACTCAGACGGCTTTCGTCGAGAGAGGGGGGAAACAGGTAGATACGAATGCGTGGGATTTCCACGACAGGATCTGCAAGCGGTGTGTCCACACAGCGTGCAACTATAAATTGAATCTTGAACCCCAGTCTGTCTCTCGCAGGAACAGCACAGAGCGCTGCTCGCTGCTCTGACTTTGAGAACAGCATGGTCGATGAGGTGGGCTTCGGCAATTTGGAGGTTGCTTCTCACGAGGCTGTGGACCTCGCTGGGTATGAGAAGAGACTTGGCCTCCACGTCGCCGGGGTTGGTTGAACCCTCCTCACCGTTGTCAAGAATCTCATGCACGGCTATCAGACCAGCCAGCATGATTGCACACACGACCGTACTGGTCATTGCATTTCCTGCCAGGTCCATCAAATCAGCTTGCGTTTCTCTCGTGAGTATCATTCGATCGAGGGGCAGGCCTTGTAACGAAAGGGCTTCCGTGCCAGATACGGGGCCCCCGCGGGTGGTCACAAATGGGATGCCCTTCGGCGTCAGGCATCCCGCAATCCCAGACCCAGCAAGGCTGTCATTTCCTCGATCGACTCCCTGAGACAAGTCGATCCAACGCCTGTGAAGTGAACTATTAGCTAAAACAATCCTGAAGTAAAAGTGAGAGAAATTTGAAACTTACTCCTTGAAGTTCATGTCATAATCTTGAAGCATCTTCTTCAAGAAATTCATGTCCACGGTCTCCCACACTCTCTCCGGCTGTGTCTTCCAGAAACGATGCCAATAGAAGTCCGGTGCCTTCAGGTCATTGATTCCGGGCAGGGATCGAGTGATTGGCCTCTCGATGCCTAGTTCCAATTCGCCCCGGTGCCGTTCGTGACGAATTTGGTACTGGTCCCAGCTAGTTTCGCTTCTAGACTCAAGGCGGGCTCTCATCTCGGTGAGCTCGAGTCGGCGGTCAACGTCACTCAGCAAGAACATACCCACCGGCGCACTCGCTGGCCGCTTGAAACGACCAGCAAGCTCACGAACGCGTTGAGTGACAGTGTCAATGCCACTCTGGTCCAAGGAGCCTCCAAGCAGGCCCGCTGCTTCCAAGCGGCGCTTGTCAATGACTACCATGTACCCGCGCTCGCGTGTCTGTGGGATGTAGTAATGCTTTGTGTCGACATTGACACAAACCGACATGTATCCAAGCTCCTCCCACTTTCCCTTCATCTGATCCCAGGGCGCGTTCCGGACGTTCTCCTGGACGACCATGCGGGGTCGATATCTCTCTGCGTACCGCAAGAGACCGTCGAACGTAGCTCCCGACTCGCCGCCTTGCTGCAGCGTCTTCTTGCGGGTGTTCAACGGAGAGAAATCGACACAGGCAGTCCCAGCAACTAAGATGTCGAGGTCACCGGGAATCACCTCCGATGACCCGTAGGCGGTCCGCCTTCAAAACTAAAGTCAGTATGAAAGTCGAGTCAGAGAATGATGAATGGATACTTACGCCACATCCCCTCCAAGCTCGGTGATGTCCCGAAAGAGGATAGGGGGGCGGAAGTTCCGTTCAATGTATGATTGTTTGAACGGAACGATCTCGCAGCTGAAAGCATGCGAGATCCGAAGTTGCTGGGTCTCTGCCAAACCTATCAAGGCGTTGTTAGCATTTGCTCCATTATATAGGGAGAACCAAGTAGAAAATGAGAGAGATGAGACAGAAGGGTAGTAATGAGATGAATACAAAACAAATGACAGATCAATGCAAGACTGAAGCAATGGTGACATAGAGCTCAAGGTCAAGGCAAAGTTAGGGCAAGAAAGGAGACATGTGACTTGGACATTGCACAAGGCGAGGAACCTCAACCATAGAATCAACCACAAGCAACATGAACCTCAACATGAACATCGAAAACAAACGATTGAGGGCAAAAAAAAAGAAAAAGAAAACAAGACACTGCACTGCACTGTACTGTACTTACCCGTCTGGATTAATTCCAGGGCCAGAAGCGGGGCTTCTGTTCCTGAGCACACTGTCGCCACTCGAAGTGGTCGACTGCCGAGCCGAATGAGCACATGCTCGAATCCCATTTTCATGGCGTTCGATGCCATGTCAGCGAAAATATCTGTCAGCGTATGCAGAGGCGGTAGGTCACTGGCTAGATACCGACCACGAGGGATCATGCATCCCCGCCGCAGCTCAGGAATCTCATCGGCCCGGGCCCTAGGCTCCTGATCATCCATCGCCAAACCATCCGCCGATTGCTGCTGAGGGACCCCCTTTGACGCCATGACCTGCGTTGGAGGAGGGGGTGAGAAGATTGAGGTAGTCGGAATTTTGGATGATACTGACAAGAAAGAACACGCTGGAAAAAGACCTCGGAAACCGAGGTACTTGCAGTATGATGACCTTGGTCACCGGCTCAGAGCAAGAAGCAAACAGCAAACATGCAAAGCAATGGTTGGAGCGGTGATTGGATGCAAAGGTGAAAGAGAGAAGAGGAATAAGGAAGTGAATAAAGGGGGGATAAGATCCCATCTAAGCGTGACACCCAGGCAATGATCTCATTCATCACGCCTGAACAGGTAGGCGCTTTTAACGCGACAGCGAGATACTGTACTCGTCACTGCGGTAGCTCTCGCCCGATTGGGTGCGACGGCATGTGACGGTGGCTAGCTGCGCTGAGAAATACACCCGCGCTAAGAGATACTTCTGCGTGGTGATAGCAAGCTATTGATGCCCCGGCGATCCCAGTGAATTGGGTAACGGACTTGCGATAGCCATTGAACTGACCGAGAGATCATGCCACAATCCAAATCGACATTGACACCAAGCCCCAATCACTGACTGAATCTAAAACGATTGTTGAATGTCGCTGTCTTTTTCAACTTGACACAATATGTCAATAACTACACGCTTCTTGTCGCAATATAGTACGAACGGTCTAAATGGGTTATGAATGGGCATTTTGGTGTTTTGAGCAGAACCCAACGTATCCCTTAGTGAAAGGGTATAATCGATTTAGATTAATGAACAAGTTTTCAAATAGAACCACACGGGTACTATCACTTTTCGGCTAACCCTACATGTGCTTATGATGGGATATGCTAGTTTCCTATTGCTTGTCTCTTGCTTGGCAAGTTTTGAGTAACACAGATTGTGCCTATGATATAAACTACAGGCAATGGAGAGGTTGTGGCAAATAGTGTAGGCACCAGTGCGTTAATGAGCCTATGCACCTTTGTTGCAATCAAATGTTGATATTGGTGCCTTCTCTGCAAGTTTAGAAATTAAAACTTGGGCTACAAAAGATGCCAGTCTTGGATGTTATTGGTGCCGGAAAAATGATTGGCTGGCAGTTATTCACCGAAAGTTGAATATCATGTAGCATCATCTACCGAGACGTCAAGTAAGAATACTATCGGCCATGGCAAGAGAATTTCTAGGAGTACCAATCCTAGATCTTGTCAATTCAGCTTGGTCAAACTCGCAAGGTGAAGCAACCTTGGGAGGTTTCTCCATTGACAAACGCATCAAATATGTCCACGGGTTGAGGCATGTTGCCCTTTGGATAAAGAATCCGAAGCGATGACAAAAGAGAATTTCATTATAGGAATAAAAGAACTAAGAGAATCAGAGATCATTCTGTTAATATTCCAAAGGTAGAGCTAAATCAAGGGGAAAAAAGAAGACCTTTGCGCCACCCATTCGCCTAATTCAGTGGCATAATGAAAGAAAAAAAAAGTTGGCCATGCCAGGGTTGCTCTCGACGAACGGAGCCATAAAATACCCGAATCCATATGCAGAATCAACAGAGAACAACACTCTACCGCATGCCGCTTTGCATCAGTTGCTGGCGTAACAGCATGATCTGGCTTCTTTCCATAGGAGGCAAAGCATCAATAGAAGCCTGGGGCATACTAAGAACTTGTTGAAGGAGCTCCTCCTGGCCGTGCATCGAGGCAGCAGGCTGAACTGGGGGAGGAGCGAAAGGAGTGCCAGTGACAGGCGGTGTAGAGATCTGACCAGGGACACCGTACTGTTGAAATTGTTGAGGGGTTTGCTGTTGAGGAACCTGGGGGGGCTGGGCGGCCTGTTCGACGATGGAACCGAGCAGCTGGTATTCGACCAGATTCATGAGTAGTAAAGCCTGGAAGACAGCATAGGCGAGCTGAGGCGCTTGGCGCAGCAAATCAGTGGCACGGGCTGGGTCAGCAACCGCGAGAGATTTCATTTGGGTCAGAACATCGAGCAATTGATTTGGTGGGAGGGATGCGAGAGTGTGGGAGATGGCGTTGGGGCAGTCGATTTGAGGCGGAAGTTCCACGCCTGGGGGTAGAGGAGGCAGCGGCGCTGAGCCTTGAATCGGTTGCTGCTGTGTGGGGTCTTGGTTCATGAGAGATTGTGATTGTTGTGAGTAATCTGGGGGCACGGAATCCTTCTCGTTGTTGTGAGGCCAATCAACACGGATCTTGCGGCCCATGACTTCGTGATCGTTGAGGTTGCGCACCGCCGAGGCGGCGGCATCAGCATCCGCAAAATCAGCGAAGCCATAGCCTTTGGGCTTGCCAGTCTCCGGGTTCATCATCAATCGGAACTTGGTAACAGTACCGGCGGTGCTGAGGATGTCTTTGACTTGTTCCTCAGTGAGGTCTAGAAGAAGATTAGAATCGCATAGATTATACAGATAGCTGTAGCAACATACTGTAAGGAATGTTCCCCAAGAATACGCTTTTCCCAGTCCGATCAGGCGCCATGATTGCGATAGGAAGTGAAATGCGAGTGAGAGGCAAAGAAGTCGAGGCAAGCAAAGAAACGCTTATTCTGCCCGACTTTCACCCACCGCCCGCAACCTCACCTCATCTGCTTGAGCATCATACCAAAGTTAATCTTCATTCATCCCCAATCCTTTCCGCGCACTACCTCACATCATGTCTCAAAATCAACGGGAGGCCTGGGAGCGCCTGCAAGTTATGCTGTCGAAGCGCAAGGCCGGCTTCGGTGGCGGCATGCCATCCGGTGGTGGCCGAGGAGGCATGGGACTTGTCGGAACTCTTGTTTTGGCCGGTATTGGCACCTATGTCGCATCAAATGCTCTTTTTAACGGTATGTTGAGCTCATTTATCAAGAAATTAAGCTTCTAACTAGCTTTTAGTGGACGGTGGTCACCGTGCCATCAAATACTCACGCTTAGGTGGTGTTCAGAAGGAGATCTACAACGAAGGTTTGAAACTCACTAGCCGAATAAAGGAGCTCTCTCTTACATTTGGACGATTTCAGGAACTCACTTCCAAATTCCCTGGTTCGAAACACCCATCATCTACGATGTCCGCGCCAAACCTCGCAGCATCCCTTCTCTTACCGGTACCAAGGACTTGCAAATGGTGAACATCACCTGCCGTGTCCTCTCCAGACCCCGTGTGGATGCTCTCCCCCAGATCTACCGAACTCTCGGCCAAGACTTTGATGAGCGTGTTCTGCCTTCTATCGTCAACGAGGTGCTGAAGAGTGTTGTTGCTCAGTTCAACGCCAGCCAGTTGATCACACAGCGTGAGAACGTTGCCCGTCTGGTGCGGGAAAACCTCGCTCGCCGGGCTGCCCGTTTCAACATCGCTCTGGACGATGTTTCCTTGACAGTACGCACCTTCTTCCTCCTTCCTAGTGCAAACAGCTGCTAACACAGCATCTCCACACAGCACTTGACCTTCTCCCCCGAGTTCACAGCCGCAGTTGAAGCCAAGCAGGTCGCACAGCAAGACGCTCAGCGTGCTGCATTCCTGGTTGACAAGGCCCGCCAGGAGAAGCAGGCCTTCATTGTCCGCGCACAGGGAGAGGCCCGCTCTGCCGAGCTTATTGGTGACGCCATCAAGAAGAGCAAGAGTTACATCGAGCTCCGGAAGATCGAAAATGCACGTCACATTGCTCAGATCATCCACGAGAGCGGTGGCAAAAACAAGCTCTACCTGGACAGCCAAGGATTGGGCCTGAATGTCAACGCCCACAACGAAGAGGGCAAATAAATTCATTCCGCTTGAAACTTAATGGCGCTGCTGGAGGGATGTGAATTATTGTATAAATAGCTGGATTACCAAGCATCTAAATGTGGTCTCTTCTCTTTTTTTCCCCAAGGTATTTTCAAAGCAAATTGTCACAGGTTGTAGATAGCTGTAGACCTCCAATACTCGTGTGTATATTTTCTCCATGCGGGGACGAAGGCGGCGAGACAATTTTTCTTACACGGAGGGGCACCACTTTCAGTCTGATAACAGCTCTACACACCTGACTAGCAAAAACTAGCAAGTTTGAGATTAAATTCGTGAGTAACATTTGAAAGAACAAGCCAAGCTTTTTTTTAAAAAAGAAATAATTCTTCGTGAACCTCCACTAATAGCACCCAGATTATGCCCGAAGTTATCGACGATACGGCAGTGCACCTCGGTGAGGTTGACATTGACCTTGACGTGCAAGAGATCCTCCTCGCCGCATCGCAGCATGACCAGCCCAAGCTGCGCCAGCTACTCCGCACCCAGTCCACCCTTCCAGATGGCGCAAACGTGAAAGACTCCGAGACCGGCTTCTCACCTCTGCACGCCGCAATCGCCGCCTGCGAGCCCGATACAGAGACCCTCGGCACGAATGGCGCACTTATTTCAGACTCGAACCCCAATGACCTAGACGCTGAGACCGTGAAATCAGCAGTGGAGACAGTCAAGTTCCTCCTGCAGGAGGGCGCTATCTGGAACGATCTTGATGCGAAAAACGAGACACCCGGTTGCATCGCGCGCCGCATTGGCGCTCTTGAGCTATACGAGTTAATTGTTGACGCAGGTGTCCGCGCAGAGTTGCTGCTGAACCGCCTCGACGCGTACGAGGAGCTATCTGACGACGACGACGAAGAGGAGGAAGCCGAGGTTGAGACCGAGACTGCACCGGAACTCATCGATGCCTCTGCCGAAGCCACAACGGAAACCACAACCACAACCACCCCTGCCAACCCCGAAGTGTCCAACTCACAGTATCTGGAGTCGCGTCTGAACATCTCGAGCGACCGGATTCTGGACGCAGACCAGAACGGCGTGATGATGCGGTGGGAAAGCGATATCATGCGCAAGTCCGCAACAGCGCTGCTTCCGACACCCGGGCTGAAAGTTCTAAACATCGGTCACGGGATGGGCATTGTGGACGGATTTTTCCAGGAGCAAGGACCGGCTGTGCACCACATTGTCGAAGCGCACGAAGAGGTCGTTACGGAGATGAAGCGACGCGGGTGGGATACTAAGCCCGGTGTTGTTATCCACCAGGGTCGCTGGCAGGATATTCTTCCTGGTCTTGTGGCGGCTGGGGAGACGTTTGATGCGATCTACTACGATACATTTGCTGAGTCGTATAGTGATTTCCGGGACTTTTTCTCTGAGCAGGTGATTGGGTTATTGGAGCAGGATGGTCGGTGGGGATTCTTTAATGGCATGGGTGCTGATCGCCAGATCTCATATGATGTCTACCAGAAGGTGGCGGAGATGGATCTCTTCGAGGCTGGGTTTGATGTGCAGTGGGAGGAGATCGCCGTGCCCAAGTTGGATGGTGAATGGGAGGGTGTGCGTCGGGCTTACTGGGTTGTTGATCATTATAGATTGCCACTGTGCAAGTTCATGGATTAAGGAGGATATTTGAGGATTTCATGGAAATGTGATGTTGAGAGAAAGGACATTGGATGTCTATGACTGAATGCGACGCTTGAAAATGCTATATAGTTAGTGGCTAAAAGTAACGATGTACAAATGATATCACAGTTGAATCAAATCCACCGCTGAGAAATCTGGAGGACTGCGACTGAAGATAGTCCGACACTTGCCGTCTAGCGCCTGGTACTCATTGCTGATCCAGATATGTTTGCTAAATCGTTGTGTGCGGTAGACTTCGTCATCACTAACGCCCAAATCATCACGCGGAATCCAGATGACAGGCCGCTTGGCGCGAAGGGCTTCGTGCTGGAAGGCATGCTGCACCAGCTGGTCCCGCTCATCCGGAGTAAGATCCTCTAACTCATCGTGAATACCAGCAAAGAGGGCTTGGCCAACTGTGCTGGGGGCTGGTACCTGGGCCTCTGTGTCTTGGGCGATTTTTTCCTGCATATTCCGTAGTGTCGGGGTGGAGGGTGTCGAGTTCTGGCCGAAATACTTGGATTTCTGGTTTGGTAAGTTGGACGCCCATGATTGACGTTTATTTCCAAGCTTAGGGGGTGACCAGAGATCCGAATTCCGTTGCTTCTGGTCTGGGTGATTGGTATCCAGAGATTTCATTTCGATTTCTTCTCGCATCTCCTTTCCGTGCTGGCGCTCTTCGTGTTCACGCTTAGCGAGGGTATGTTCAATATCACTATCCCCGTCATCGTCATCGTCAAGAGCGAGACCGAGGCGAGCGTGCTGAGCACGGCGGAACTCATCATCACGTCGAATAGCATCATCTTCCAAGGTGATCGGCAGATACCGAATTAGTGGACTAAACGCATCGTTGAGAAGAATTTGGTAACCGGCTGTCAGGATTAGAACCACGATCATGCAGATAGCCTGTCCCTTGCAGGCGACCTCGTTATCGGCGTTCCGAACCAAGAAGAACAAGCCGATCAGACAGACTTCCATGATGTAAATTCCAGTGAATAGCTGATTGATAGCTCGAGGGAAAAGAAGGCCGCCGGTGTCAAAGCGAAACTTGGTGACATAGAGTGTATTATAGCGATAGACGAACCAAAACAAGCCGAACGTGATGATGTTGAAAATCAAAATCAGAGGTGCGATCACACAGTAGATCAAACCTAGGAAATTGTTAATCAACGCGTCCAATCGAAAGGACTAGACAACTTACCAATAGAGGCTAGAGTTGTATAGACAGGGAAGAATGTGCCCCATTGCATCTGGTTGAGGTTTGTTGTTCGTGCCCACTTCATCCGGGCAGTTGAGTCCAAAATTGGAGCTAAAATGAACCAGCTCACTAGGCCAAAGATTTGCACAAGAGCACCGGCACTCACAGACATGGCTTGTAGAATCATGTAAGAGAAGAAGTAGTTACTAGACTTCGGGATGTTCACTGCTAACATCTGCGGCCAGCTGGTCACATCAGTGACGTTCTCAATGATTGTCGAGAAACTGGAGGCGATTGTGACGACCAGAAACAGCTGTACAAAGAGGAAGGCAAAGTAGTAGTTTTGGACAGTGAGCTCAATGGACATGCCAGTGAAGAGGCCCTGTGTGCGGCTCAAGAAGCGAAGCATGAGAGGGAGTAGTGCCATCAGGATAGCTAAACACAGCGCAGGAAGAATACCCTGAATGGCCGAAATGAGCCAGTCTGGTAGCTTGCTAAGCCAGGCAAGCCATGGGAATGCACCCTCCAGATATGCCAGTTGTGACATTAGCCCGGTGAATGCGACGGGGAACGCCCATCCAAGGACCATTGCACAAACTAGCGTGATGATGCCGAAGGAACGTAGATATCGTTCCCACCATTTGATCGACATATTATCCCAAATAACATCGTCAGGAGAGATTTCCACCACTCGGGGTGCCATTTGCTTGGGGAGGTGGTGGCTAACAGCTTGACAGGCCATATGGGCTGCAACTTGGTGATTGAACTGGATGAAGGCCGAATTCATCAAAGGAAACTTCTCAGGGTGCTGTTGGTCGATTTCGATTTCCAAATTCAGACGAGCGAGCTCCTTGCGACAATAATCGATGGTATCAACCTTTTGGCCTAAAAGCCAAATCGAAGGCATCCAACTCCAACCAAATATGGGTAGACGCATGGTATCTCGATCCTTGGGCCGGATGTATTCCTTCCACAGTGGCTCTCCGTAATCTTCATTTTCGAAGTTTTCATTGTAGGCAATGGGGTACTCTTCTTCTTCCAATTTATCCCCCTCTTTTCGGCCATCTTCGAATTTTTCATTTTTTTCAGGTTTCGTGTAGTCACGATGAGGTGCATCAGTTGTAGGGGTTTCAGGTGCAGTCAGTGGAAATTCGTCAGCCTCACGCACACCCTGCAATTTTGTATGAGGTGACTTTCGTCTCCAAAATGGTGGCTTCGGCGGAGTCGTTGAGTCGGAACACATGGTTTCATTCTGGCTTGCAGTCTTTCCTAACATCTGGCCTGAACTGAAACTCAAGTGCTGACTTCGCCGCAGCCCTACGGGTCTGGCGGGCTGTGTAGCAGGCCGGCTGTCAGAATCAAGAGGATCGGGGACCGGAGGGGTGTTTCCATGAGGTGGGAAGGTGTCCGTAGTTGCAGAATGATCGGGGCCCGGGGAAATATCTAAACGAGCGTGAGGCGGGATGATATTGTCTGTAGTGGCAACGAAGCCCCCGGTTCGAGCCAAAGGATTCTCGAAGCCGTGCTCAACCTTCCTGAAGCCTCCAAGCACCGTCTTGCCGAGTTTTTCCACCTCTTGGCCAACCACCCCAGCGGCGGCAAAGGCCGGGTCAAACACTCCTCGTCCGTCCTCCGACCGTTTCTCTTGGAGACCTTCTGGTTGTCCATAGAGCATTTCTCGTACCGTGTGGGCCTGGTTAGGATTACCAGAGCTGACACCAGGACCCATGGCCATTTGGGAGGCTCGTTTGTCAGTCGCCTCTTTCTCTTTTTTCTCTGCGCTTGATTGACTTTTGCCGGCCTTCTTTGCCTCCTCCTTAGCCTTTTTGAGCTGTGCTTTTTTGCATTTTGCGATCAAATCCGTCTCGGCACTCTCAAGCTTGAGAGCTAAGTCGTTTCGTGCTTTTACTTTCTCGTTCAACTCGTCGAAGTTGCGGTTGAGCCAGATGTTCCGCAAGCCCCCGGGGAAAACATCGAAAAGCTGATCAAGGGCATCCATGCTGAGCCAATCAGGCGGGATAGAAGTAACGAGCACGGTGGTAGCAGAAGCACGGAGTCGATGCTGGGGAGATGTCAAATAGGCCTGTCGCAGGCGAATGTAATTCCGAAGTTCATCAAAAAACACAGCACAGACGTAGACAATGGTAATCACGGCCATTACCAGATGAGCCCAGTACCGATCCGTGTGCTCGGGGGTAATGTTACCCCAGGCCAACTGATCCAAACCAGTGACGCTATACTTAGTACCTGAGTTGCCATGTTCGTATGTCTGGCCCTTACCACCAATACGGTTGATTGGGATTAGAACCGGTAAAATCACAAGGCTCAGGGGAAGGAAGATCTTCAGAAGCATCCGCAAATAGCGCAGGAAGAAGTATGCATCAAGCCCACATTTCTGGATGAATTCCGAGCTGGACGTACGAAAGACTGGGACAATCCAACGGAAGAGTCCTGGCGGTGATGGGGTCGTGCGTTCTCTATCTGGAACCAAATAGGTTCGCGGTTGACTGGACATCAATTTAGTCAGTTCAATGTCCACTTTCTTCTTCCCAGTGGGGTTTTCGGGGACTTACTAAATTCGAGTTAGTTTACCCTTTAGTAATAAAAAGAGGAGAAATTCAGCGACAAAGACAACAACGGCTGTCGCCAGAGACGCCAAGAAAGTCGAGAGTGAAACACCTTCAGCGATTCGGCCTTGGCCACCGGTGTGTTCCAGCGCCTCCTCCAAGCCTGAAGACATGGCGATAAGCCCGGCTATTGCCGAAGGGAAAAAGACGTTAGGAGATTAGGAAAGCTATGACGCTAAAGGGGTGTCGAAGAAGCTGTCACCGCAAGAAGCATCACGAGATTTCGTTGTAGGCACCGATGGATGTTAAAAGTGATCGCCCATAGAATGGGAGGTTTGAATAAGAAATAACTTGATGATAAGAGAGAAAATAAATCACAAAGAAATCCACTTGAGCGGACTTCCTGAGGCGCCAACCTGATCAGCTATGGGGAATGAGAGCCAATAATGTCGAATTTGGTCTTTGAATGATGTCTTGGTTAATGAGGTGAGTGGCGCGAGGACTGTGCTAGCGGTCTGATCAAGAAATTGAGACGTTGAGGAACAGGGATGATTGGAGGAATCGTGGGAGCGCCGATCGAGGATACAATGACATCAGGCGCTAAGTGAAACAACTAAGTCACGGCGGCTTTGGATGGATTCTAGTGAAAGGAGAACACATTTTGCTTTATGTAACCTAACACCACAGCGTTTCATACTCTATATTTATCACAAAGACCACTCACTGCCTTTTCATCTATGACACATTTATCATGATAATTGCGAATACCTACTACGGTAGTAGTGAAGCCCTGAAGCTTTTGGAGGGGGAGAAAAAAATGGAAAGAGCGGTGATTGGCCCATGAAATTAAGATGTGGCTGTGTTTTATCATATAATGGGAAGGATCGACCTGAGGACCAGCCACAGGGTCAGGAACTGCATGTGGCTAGAGTTGAGAAACACGTCGGCCCAAAGCGGAAACCACTTAACGCGCCAGTCACGTCCACGGTGGCAGAAACCGCGTTCCGCCCACAGCTTTTTGCTCTTTCTTTCTTCACCTAAATTCCAAACCACCACTAGCCCACCTGACCATCGTCTGGTATCAACACAATAATTCATATCCACCATGTCATCACCAACACAAAGACGGAGGGGTCGTTCATCTAAAAATCCAACAGCATCCCCCAGTTCTTCGTCCCGACAGGAGCCCCCTAGCAGCCCGAATTTCCAAGCCACCCCCCGTGCCTCGAGAC